TGCTATGCGAAAGTGAACAACAACAAAAAACTAGGTAAAGGGCCCAGTGAGACCATAAATCAGTCATTCAAAATGGTCAATAGTCCACATATACTGAGAGGAGTTAGAGATATGGTGGTAAATGAAAGGCGGTTTTTGTCCTCATAGTGAATCCAGGTTGTTACTTTTACCATGCCTTGGGCCAGAACTAGGAAGATGTGTAGCTACAGGTAAGGCTCAGAAAGAGAATCCAGACTGTGATTACATTTGAGAGTGACCTTTCAGGGCAGAAGTAGATGAAATATACTCCCTATCATCAAACCAAGTGAGCATGTGCTCTGTGGGGAAGCGATCTCTGGTCAGAGAGGATACCACGCCAAGGCAGCATCTGAGTAGTATCCATGAGAGCTAAGCCAACCACGCCAAGGCAGCATCTGAGTAGCATCCATGAGAGCTAAGCCAAGGAGCTTTGGAGTGTGTCTTAGTAAAGAAGCAAGCGTGTGTGTGTGTGTGTGTGTGTGTGTGTGTTGGAAGAGCAGGTTGTCCTGTGAGCTGCAGAGGATAGTGTGAGAATCTGGCTACTTTGGGGCAGATATGCAGTAAAAGCACAGATACTGGCAAAGGCTCTACTTACCACCTAGGAAGGAATTCATAATAGTGCTATAAGACAGAACAAAAGAGAATGGCGAAGTAAATAACCATGTCTAAAGATAAAAGCACCACTTAGATGGAAACTATTAAGACTGAGTGGAAATGCTGAAATAGCAAATATGAACTTCAGACTCCTGAATTCTCATAATCATAATCATTTAATCATGTCAAATCTACCAATGTATCTTTGGATTTCTCTAATCATTTAAATAGGTAAGTACTGCCACTCATTTAGTGTTGCCGTGTTTTTCAGGACATTTTATAAAGCAAGAAGTACATTATGCACATTGTGTTTGGTTATTTTCTGCTATTACAACGTAGTGAAAACTGCAATAAGAAAGTAGGCAGAGTAGAGGAAGACATCTTATTGAAATTAGTGGGATGTTTATTTTTTAACAAATGAAACAAAAAAATTATAGGTTCTTAAAGCAATTAAAACAAAGCTAATAAAAGTTTATCGAGACAAGGTGCTGAGAATGTTTTCCTCAATAGGTGATTAGGATGGGATAAATACGAAGCATATTTATTATTTGCTTTGATATATGAATTTTGCTAAAGTAGTGTTAAAAGTGTCTGGTAGTTTGCATCACAGAGCAGTTCAAGTATGTTACTCCCTATAGTCTTATGTTCACTTAGTTCTAAAAAGTGCTTGTAACCACCTACTTCCCTTAATGAAAATCTGATCACCACCCTTGCACTTTTTATCTTCCTGTCTGAAATGCCTGTGTTAAGATTTGTTCCTTTATCTTCAAATGTTCTATTGTCCAGAGTCTTATTTTTAAACAATGCAATTAGCTTGGGATGGCTAATTGCTTACTTGAAGTAGTAATTATGAACAGCATCGCAAGATTTGTTAGTGGAGCAGAAGCCCTCCCCTGTATGAGTGGTGAGGCGCTGCAAAGGGGGTTTTGGAATAGCCGGACAGCAAAGTTTGTGCCTCTCCCCTTTTCCCCTGAGGGCCTGGTATCTGAGCTGTAATCAATAAGGAATGAATTTTCCTTATCGTAGTATCTCTAAGATTAGTATACCTCCTCCTCCTCTCTCCCTAAATGACAAATGATTTCATCAGTAACACTGCAATAATATAATTCTTATATTTTAGTCAAAGTCCCTATACAGTTAGTTTAACTGAATTTACCAGTCAGTTCAGTCAACCAGTCAGCTCAAAATTAAAAAAACAAAAAAACCAAACTGCTACATGACTGTTTATATGCCTCATTTTAAATGTTTAGTTTTAAAACAATTAATACCAAGTAATAAAAAGCAAAGGGAATTATATTTCAATGGTAACTGAAGTAATTGTGATTTTTTTATTTATCTGTTCTCTAGACACAGAGAACTGCACTGCTGTATAGGACTTTTACGACTGCTCATTTGAATGTACACAGTTAAGATTTTAACATATACACAAGTAGAGAATACAGTACAGTGAGCCTCCATAGACCTATTTCTGGAGTCAAAACATACCAACATTTTGTTTCATTTATCCTTTTTCTTTCTTGTAATTTCTATGGAATATTTTAAATAAACCCCAGATATCGTATAAATTCACTCTTCAAAACTTCAGTATGTTTCTCTATCAGATAAGGCTTTTAAAACAATCTGTGACATCACATGTACTGAAATTAATAAGAGTTCCTTGATATTTAATGATCTATATTCAAATAACCTAGTGTCTTTAAAATGTATTTTTAATTATTTGGTTGAATTACATTTCAAAAAATGTCAACACGTGGTTTATATACCTCTTAACCTTCTTTTAATTGATAACTATTCCCTTCCACCCTTTTTCCCTTGCAATTTATTTGTGGAGGAAACCAGGCCATTTGTCCTATGGAATTTACTATTTCCTTTATTTCTTTTATTTTTTATTTTTTCTCTTGGGTCATTGATGTTTCTTTTTCAGTGTTTTTTAGAAGCTCGTTATTTATTAGGGATCTGTAATAAATTTTGTAAGTATATATGTTCTGCTTGTCATCTGCCTTTTTATTCATGATCTTTTAGGCTGTTGTGAAAATGTTTAATATATTTCCATTTTTCCACCATCTCCTCCAATTTTTGTGCTCCCCAATTTATTGTGTACATCCTTTTAGTGTTTATACCTTTAAATGGTGTATATACCTCTATTATTTTTCAGATACGAATAATTCATTTTGACTCTTAGCCATGGAAGACAAGGAACTCAACTTTTCCATGGCAACTTTGTAAGTTACATTGTTTCTATGTAGTCGGTGTTTGTGATATTTATATATTTTCCTGTGACCATAATCCCCAGGTGTTTTAGTCTTACTAAATCTGAAAAAAAAAGAATTAAATAATTACTATCTTGTCCTATTCAATTTCTTTTTGTTAGCTAGTGGTTTTTTTTTTTTTTGGTTGTTTCTTAAATAAAACAAAACAAAACAAAACAAAAAAACTCCCAGGAACTATATGCTCTGAGTTTTTGAAGGTAAACGACACTTTTCTTATGGGTAGAGTTCATTGGTCATCTTTTCTTTCATTGCTCCACCATTTGTTGGTGTTGAATGTTATTTTTTAGAAGTCTGAGGCCATCTTATTATTTTTCACTCAAAATTGATGTGGTATTTTACCAAGTTCCAGAGGAATTTTTTTTTATATTTGAGTAGGATATATCTAAGTGTTATTTATTCTTTGTCACTTTTTTATGGGACCTAGTATGACCCTTTAATATGTAAATTCAGAGCCAGATTCATTTATACAAAGCTTTCTTAATTATTTCTTTAAATACGTAATATGTATATACCGATATTTATGTTGATTGTTCTTTACTTGCCTGCTACATTTGAAATTTTCTCTGACTTTAAAATGTTTTCTTCATTTCTGCTCACTTTTATCAGTCC